CATGGTAGAATTTCTGTCGGAGACATCACCAGTCCAATCAGAACCACAAAAGGCAAGTAATTGAAGGGAACCATGAATAGAATTTCTATCGGTGACATCACCAGTCCAATCAGAACCAGAAAAGGCAAGTAATTGAAGGGAACACCGAGTAATTGAAAGGCCAAAATAGACTGCGTCTTTGATGTATTAAAAAATTATTTTTTAAGCATTTGAAAATGATTGCTATGTTGACACCTTCATTCATGTAACAGTAAGATATTCTAGTGAACCAACGATATAATGATACTCCGGATTGGGAAATGGTGAACAACTTTCTCACATCTAGAAGACATTAATGGTAAGGGCTGTTGACTCTGCTTACAGGCATCCATTCATGATCAATGTAGAAGCTATAATGCATATGAAGTTTGATGTAAAGGTAATCCAGCAGAAGTTCGAACAACATTGATCCCCAAAAATATTTCTGAGATGGAAGGTGCTGCTATAAATTAAGAAAATGGTTGATAGAATATTTCCACTGACAAAAAGATCATCAGCATAGATTAAGATCAATATGAGACTGTTATCTTAATGATAAATGAAGAGAGAAAGGTCAACATCACTTTGGATAAATTTTAAAGCTTGCAAATGAGATGTCAATTTAGTAACAACAGACTAGATGCTTGTTTCAAACCGTAAGTAGCCTTTTAAAGCTTATTAACAAAATTAGGATATTGACTATCATGAAAGCTTTGGTGTGGCGGTATATATTGTCTCACATAAATCACCAAAGCATTTGATGCATCAAACTAAGTACTGGCCAATATTTTTGAATAGCAAAAAAGTAAAACTAGAATTGTAGGTAACTTGGCAACATAACCCATACAAACTCTTATTTATATCCCTAGGCACCAAGACGAGATATGTATATCTTTACACCTACAATTAGCTTTGTTTTATAAATCCATTTGTAGCCTAACACACCTTGATTCAAAGGTGGTGGTACAATCTCCCAAATGTCTTGAAATTGGAGTGCCTAAAATTCATTGTCATCCAATGCCCTTCTTTAACAAGTATATTAGTTAAACAAGGAGATAGATATAGAATTTTCTTCGATTTGAACTTGCCTGTTTGAAACCCGGTTAACATTTGATGCGTAGATCGATATATAGGAGGTGGGCAATTTAGTTGTTGAATGAGTGGAGGAAACCACATCAAGAGTGGTTGTAGGGGATATCAAAGAGAAAGAGAATACTAATACAATGTAGGCTCGGGAAAGCTCGTGGAGGACGTTGAAGCGGAAGATATAGCTACAAAGTGCGATGGAGGGGGAACCAGAGTAAGTGATAGCACATAGGGAAAATGCACCTGTAAAAGATTTAGAGTTTGACATTTCTAGATATGTCAATGTGTTTTCATAGAATACACGTCATGAATAAAATTGTTTTGTAAAGATAGATGAAAAAAACAATAGCCTTTGTTTATAGCCAAGAAACACGCATTTGGACAACATGGGAGCAAATTTATGCTTAAAGTACATCTAAAATGAGGGTAGAAAAGACATCAAAACACCTTTCATCAAGTTGATTGCCATTATAGTTCTACAATTGAATAAACTGGATTGAATCATTGGTGAAATGCGAAGTATCTCCTAAATTAAAGTACCAAGTAGAAGGTTGAGAAGATGTCTTTGCCAGCAATGATTGAGGTTAGATTGTTGTTGTAATTTAAATTTGTGTTGTGCCAACAAGTGATAGCTATATGACCCAATTTATCGTAGATTTGACATATTAACATTGTTGATCGTTACACCCTTCTCTTGATGTGAAAGTTGTTTAATGTCTTGTTGAATTAGAAGAGTTCAAGGGCGGCTTCTAGCTAACCTAGAGTAGAATGGCTTTTGTATAGCTCTTCCACATTGAGCTATTTAAGCTAACGTCGATTCTATCAATTGAGAATCATGAAGTTCACGGGTAGCTTTATTCGCAAAATTGGTATAATAATGAGCAAAAATCATCTAAACTCAAGGGTTGCAAATTTGTCCTGATATCTGTTTTGAAACCTTGGCAAATAGAGAGAAGACCATTGAATGTTTAAAGAATAATTTCCTCATGATCAAAAGATGAACCAGCCCCTACAATTATATCAACCTTTGATTTGATCTCTAAAAAGTATTGTTGCATGGATTGGTATTTCATAGAAATGCAGTGTAGCTCATTTTTCAATTGAAAGATGAGGTAGCAATGTATAGATTGTCATCTTTTATAAATTACATTCCAAATTTCAACATAAGATATAAGATTCAAAATGTAAGGCAATAAGGATTTTGTTACATTGAACAAAATGTAGTGGCTAAGTTTTGATCAACCCTCATCCATGTATAATAATTGGGATTCAGAATAATCTCACCTACTCCTGTGGTGAGCTTTCGAGAAGTACAAGTAATATAACCATTGAGATGACCTTCAAAATCACAAGCTCTGAACACTATCAGAACTTGAGAATGCTAGGTGAGATGATTTGCAGGTGTCAACTGAACAATAATAATATTTTTATGGTAGACATAATAAGTTGAGGACAAACTTGGGAGCTACAAACCAGATGATTTGAATCATCATTGTTGTTAGAGGATGTTTCAGATGTCATTAGATCAATCAAAGAAGAAAAGAGTAGAAAGGAGAAGAAAATGAGCAATTAGCAC